TTAAGTTTTAGAAATAAGAGAACTTTTCCTTGTATTCAGTTTTTATTGTCTGGTCTTTGCATTTGAAGACTAGGTTAAGTTAAGATCTCAAATCCATTAGTTATTGTGGTTAACTTTATGGTTAACTCTCGTCTGTTTGCCAGCTCCCTACTTCCTGAATGTATCCTGGATTTCTTCAACCGAACAACTCTACTGAACAGGTTACAAACGTGCTTAATTGTTAACAATCTGGAGATTGTCTGCTCTCTTCTTGGCATGGTCTATTGAATACTAACATGATAATGAAATCAATAATTACATGATATTCTTGCAAGCATGTGCAACAAATCTTTATTGTATAAATGCAAAAACATCTTTTTATGTAACAGGATATCTTGTTTGACAATATGAAAAGTTTGATAAAGAAACAAATTCTGCGCATGGATGTGTAGCGACATCATTGATCTAATATTTTGGGTTCCCAGTTGACCTTCATTAAATTAGGAGCCCCTATTTTTCCTCTTCCTGCAGGTCCCATCTTCTATTCCTCAGATCCCTCTCCAACTCCAGTCCACCTAATTTCCCCCTCTATGCCCCACCTTTCTGTTTCTCCTTCTCCCTCTGGCTGTCCCTGCTCTCTTATATCCCCCTCCATTATCGGCAATTCTATTTTGTTCGCTAGCTCCCTAGGCTAACACCCTTTATCTATCCGTCAGATCCGCCCTTTTTTCTTCACCTCTCTCTCTCTTTCTCAATTTCTTTTTCAGTTCCCACTCCTGGTTTCTGTCCCCGTTCCCCTCCATCTTTATTCATCTCTCAGATCGCTCTCCCACAGAATCATCTCTCTCACCGACCCTCTAACCTCTACCACTCTCCACCTCTCTTTATATTCCTCTCTATTCCCCTCTGCTCTCATTCCCCTGACTGTTCTAATACATGTCGGTCAACTGGCTACTATAAAAAAATCGCCTAGAAAATCAGAAATGTTTGCCTTGTAACAATAACCCCCGGCCATTGACCCGTGTTTGTTGCTTGTAGGTGAGTTGTTTGGTAGAAGAAGGAATCCTGGGAGCAGACAAAGAGCCGGGACCAGGAACAGCTACACTCCCAATTACTCTGTCTCCCATACAAGTCTGTAGTCTGTATAGTATAGTCTATACTCTGTAATACAAGTCTGCAGTCTTTCCAGTGATAGCAATGGCTAGCACTGTAACTCAGTACTGTAACACTAGTACTGTAACACTATTACTGTAACACTCAACACACCCATCTCGTAATTTTAGAAAACTAATGTTTGATTAGAATCAAGTCAGACTTTAATGTCCTCCTTTGAATCATACAGAAAGGATGGTGTTTTATGACAGTGACTGGGAAATTTTTCATTAATGACAAGGAGATTTGTTGTGAATATTACTTTAACCAGGGTGTAGTCAACTTAGGCCGAAGTTGGCTATTGGCCGATGTTTGCTACATCTTGGTGTCTTGTTACAGTTAGAGAAACATATCACATACTTTCAGCGAGCACATACTTAGATATTATGCTGTTTTTTACTGTGTTTATTTCCTTGTAATGTTTAATGAATTGAATTGGGTCCCATTGATTTCCAAAGGTAATGACAGAAATGGTATCGTTACCATATCAATAGTTGACCATCGGTGACAATAGCGGAATTTAATGGCACCTACGGCGATGATTCTGATTGTGTCCAGTAAGGACCTCTAGGATGATGCAACTCAATTGGGAAGGAGACACTACAAACAACCCTTCTGCGTGATAAAGATTCCTAAGTGCCGAGTACACATTCCGCAGCAGAACTGGATGATACCGGTAATGTGAAGCTTTACAAAGATCCACCAGCCGTTGACACCTCAACCGAACAACTCTTTTATCAATTATATATAAGAAACCGAACAACTCTTTTACCAATTTTCTATAAAAACCGAACAACTCTTTTACCAATTTTCTATAAAAACCGAACAACTCTTTTACCAATTTTCTATAAAAACCGAACAACTTTTTTACCAATTTTCTATAAAAACCGAACAACTCTTTTACCAATTTTCTATAAAAACCGAACAACTCTTTTACCAATTTTCTATAAAAACCGAACAACTCTTTTACCAATTTTCTATAAAAACCGAACAACTCTTTTACCAATTTTCTATAAAAACCGAACAACTCTTTTACCAATTTTCTATAAAAACCGAACAACTTTTTTACCAATTTTCTATAAAAAACCGAACAACTTTTTTACCAATTTTCTATAAAAAATATAATTAGTCAGGTGATGTTGTTTATTGAAGCCCTCTTCAATGATTCGCTGTCTTGGCTCTTCTGAGCTTGCTGTTGTAGGAACTTCTCAATCCATACAAGCATGTGCAACAAATCTTTGTGTTACTTTTAAATAATACCTCTAGTAATGGGTCGCACGATGCACAGAAAAGTATGTATTGGTTTGTAAGACCCTCCGAATGTCCTCGTTAGTACTTCTACTAACAATATTAATTCCTTCTTCACCCTTTTTATAACTCAGAACCTTTTTTCCCCATCCTTGATTGACTCATAATTCTTAGGTTCTCCCTAACCATCCAGCAATCCGTTTTATAACCCTGCTATATTTCCCACTGTCATGATTATTCCCCTGTCCCTTCTTTAACCCTTGCCCCCTACCCCAAACAGTTCCAGAGCATGAAATCTTCCTTGTTGGACAACTGACCATTAGAAATTACCATTTTTTCCTAAAAATAACCCAACTTTGACCGTTTATGCTCGTTCGTAGGTTCTCAGATCTCACCAGGAAGCAGAAGAAGGGCAGGAATCAGAAACAAGTACACTCCATCCTATCGAGTCTCCATGACAAGTCTGTATATTAGTCTTAAGAGTGGTGGTGTGCATCTGTTCTAGCAGTCAATGTATCGACTCCTAGAAGACCATGCAATGACACTGATTCTTTGAGAGATGACCTGATAGTTGTTATAGTGGTTTTGGTTAATTTCCCTGTGATTTATGAAACGTTTCCCAGTCGCTGTCTATATTTCATTATTGGGGTCATTTGAATTCAGATTCAAGGGCAAGTAACCCTAGTGAGGGATATGGTATTGAAATTATAGTTTTACCGGTACTAAGACATTGTACTAAGAGAGTTAAAGAAGTTAGCTGAAGGAGTTACCTTACAGTATAAAATCGTTGATCAAAATTTAGCCTAGTATAACTTAGTTTAAACCATCGGTCTCATTAATCTATTCTAAAACCTGTTTGTCCCATTTTAAACTTATCATTTACATAATTAGGTTCAGTTTTAACAAATATAAGTCATGCAATTGAATCTAATTGAATACAATAAGGGATCTTGTGTTCAGTATTTCTGGTAATTTCTTATCACACTCTAGTAAAATATTGTTACCCGAGTCTGATTAGAAATAACCAAACATTTGAACACAAGAATAAAACAAATATTATAAAACAAATATTATATTCAAATCTCCTTATTCAACAATATAAATATTAAATCATTATAGAACCTAATTTGTGGATCAAGATCACGTGATCAACACATCTAACCTAACATTTCTCACAGTCTGGTACGTGGTTATCGGAGTTGCTGTAGCGTTTGTACTGGCCCTGATTGCATCCATTGTGTATTACTGTGTCGTGGTAAGGAAGAGGAACAGGGATAAGAGGGAAGCGGAGAAGTACAAGCCCATGGGAGGAGGTTACAAGTCCAAGGCTGATCAGGACAGGGAGATGGGACTTTGACGGGCTATAACTTCCGCTAGGAACAGCCATTTGCCCAAAACTTGATACCAAACGACTCTACTCAATGATACCTTTCCAATGATGTATAATATGTTGGGTTTTGAGACATAAAATGTTCACCCGCAAGTTGACGCTCTTAGTACATACACTAGTACGCGTAGACTCATGGCTATCTGAAGACTAATGGAGCTCATTGTCTCACCATCAGAAATACAGATACTACCACCTTTATCATCTAGTGTGATGAGGCCTGATACTTCACGATAGATCATGTTGGTCTTCCTCTTCCTCTAAGTCTACGATGCATGTTCTATAGTACGCTTTAAGTCCTCCATCAGAATCTCGAGTCTCTTATCCGGTTTAGGAGGCCAGGATGTGCCTGTTGGTGATAAACTATTCAGGTAACACCATTGGTGAGCTGTAGTCATATCCGAGCGTGCTAAATCACTCTACAGTCGATCTTCGAGATTGTTCTAAAAGGGCCCCCGACAGTTGAAACCAACCTCAATAGATGTACTTTCGGACGTTGATTCCGAATCACCCCCATGACATAGGGTTAAAATGCTCCCCTGACGAGATATTGGCGAAAAACTGTTTCGATCACGTGATATGACCGTATAAGGAAGTTAGTCTAATATCTAGTTAGGGTTAGGGTCTCAGCATATGCTTTTGTTAAGGATTGGGTTAGGGTTAGGGTTGGGATCAGATTAGAGGGTTAGGGTCGTTCAGGACCAGTTAGAGAAAGGATTGAAAAAGTCACGTGACAGTCGAGTGTAGTACTAGTAGAGTGATTAATCATCATCCAGTCATATCTGTTTCTGCAGGGTCTTCCTCGCTGTCCATAGGAGGGTTTTTACTCTGGTGTTAGGCTGCCCATGCCACCTTTCTACTAAAGAGTTTGCCGTCATACATGTGCTTTCTAAAGCAAGATAGAGGTAAACACCATTTGGAATGCCGAGAGAAGAAAAGTTGATTTTCTTATAAATATCTTCAGCACTCGTAGGATGTTATTTTTCATTTTTCCTTCTTTGCTAGTCGGGTTAGAAACACTCATGAAGTGCTGGAGCGTGCAAAGATAAATCCAGTAGAGATGTACATAGGCGCAAACCGCCTGCGTTGGTTTGACCATGTCACCATAATGCCAGACACTAGGCTTCCTAAGTACCTGCTTAACTGGACCCCTGCGCATGGGAGAAGATCTAGGGGTCGTCCAAGAAAGAACTGGATGAAACGTTTGTTGGAAGATGCTGCAGCGTTTACAGGAAACACTGACAACACTACAAATCTATTACATTTATTGAGAAAATTATGTAACGCGATGGAAGTTCTTTAAGCGGGAAATTCCAGTCCAAACCCTGGAAACATGACATAAAGGATTGGTTTTACTTGTTGCATGAAAAGCACTAATAGACCTAGAAGGAGCGAGCGAGATGGCTAGTGACCGCAAACTTTGGAAGGAGATGATACGTCACAAACGGGAGTTCATTGGTGCAGGCCACTCGAATGATTGAGGAGACCTAATCAAGTACAAGTAGTAGTACAAGTTGCTAGTCGTCGTTGCGTGTCATGCTTTTTGTTACGGGTTTTCTGCAGAATGTGTGTTTCTTCTTTCTCGTAGGCTTGAGAGGCACTATACTGTGTGGAAAATGATTGGTGGCGTTATTCTTCCTTCAATGATCATCAGATCGGGAAAAATTGTACAGCTTTTCAGTAGATACTTATGTTGAAGGTCAGGAGCAGACAAAAGGGGATATCTAATGACTGATTTTATTTTCTGTGGCAGAGGTATGTTAAAGCAGCAGGTAATTACGCCGCTTGAGGTGTGGAATTTAGGACGAAAACAGAAAACTACAAGGTGTGATAGGGGTTGGGGACGACTTCTTTTTGGATGAATATTGAATAACTGAATACTCCTACAGGAGAACTTGCGGTCCTTTTAGAATTAGAAGCTGGTTCGCCCTTTATTTTAATGCATAAAGGGAATGCTGGTCAATACGAATTGTGAGGATGTGGAAAAGATCTATTCAAATTTTAGAAGTACATCTTAGATTTTTCAGGGTTATAGGGATATATGAAGCATTTTAATAGAAGACGGCAATATAAAAGAGTAGTTAACTGTGGCAGCAATTGAAAGCAATGTCTACTGACAAAAAAACTTTTGATAAAATTTACACTTGAAATTCGTACTTTTTACATCACTGCATCTACATATCATAATTCGTTCACAAGCATACCCCAACGCACGTCTACCCTGAACAATTTACTTTCTCTAAAATTGCTAATTGAACATGTTTTTAACACAACCATCTAATCTCATAGCCAAAACAATGGGACAAATTCCCCTTGTTAGACAAAGGGGAATTGCAGACCAAGCCCAGTCTATTGAAGTTATTGATTGTTCGGACGATAATGGAACATGTTATGAGGTGAATTCAACGTTCGGAGAATATATGGGATCCGCCATAAATCCGTACCACAATTTTGAACGTGAGGCAATTTGGGCAAGAGAAATGGTTTGCCCTGGTGCTGCGAAATATAATACTCTAGTGACAGGACTAAACCGTGTGAACGAAGAAAGATATACTAAGGCTGAACACTGGGCTTTCATAGCTTATTCGAGAACGAGAGGGGACAATGATGTGATTAAGGAGGCCTTTATTATCGCTCATCTCAATCTATTTGAATACATCTCAACGCCCCAAGGAAACACCTTTTTTGGAAGATGGTGGTTTCCAACATGGAAAAAAATGTTTAAACCACTTAACACCGAAGACAAAAGAGGAGCAGCCTTAAAAATGCAATCCTCTGAATTGAATCCCCAAGATGTGTGGCTTATCTATCCAGACATTCCTGCTGATGGACAAAGATTCGTCCTTAGAAATGGGGAGTTGGAAAACAAACTGTTTGATGAAAATGAATGGAAGGCGCTCTTACCGCCTGTTACGAATAGAGAACTGATTGACCGTATCGTCAGAAGATGCTCAGGTAAAATTTACAATATTTTTAACTTCAACTGTCAACACTTTGCAATAAAACTCCTATCGGACGAGAACCATTCCCTAAATTCGGAACTAAAGTGGAAGACGATTTTTCAGGTTCTGAAAATCTTTTTAAGTGATCATTTTTATTGTTTTTTATCACTGTTAGTTATGATTCTCTCGTTTATACTTGTAGTTATCATAAAATATGCTGATAACGGTAGTATGAAAATAGACATATTTAAGTAATATATTTTGTATGGTTCAACTTCAAGATACTTGTCACTGAGTTTGATTTTTTGTTCTGATTTATTCTCATCGTTTTTCATATCAAAGAATTAATGAAAAGAAACGAGTTCAACAGTATTCAATCCCATAGCGGGTGTTTTATAAATTACTCCTAGTCCTAAATAAATAAGTTTATCGTCTCCATCAACACTTTCTATGCATGCTGCAAAAACATTGTGAGATATGACCGAATTTGATGATAAATATGAGTTTTTTTAATCACTTTCGATAGAAATATAAAATGTTAACTTACTATGTCAACAACTTTTGTTAACTTTTGTTCCTATGTCTTGTCTATGTGTTTCACTAATCTGTACACTATATTAATATAGGGTGTCACACAATTACTTACATACGTCATCGTTCTGATATAATCGATCAGCCCTATCTAAAGTCTAAACTGATACAAAGAATCAAAACAATAATTGTGAACTGACCTATAAAATGAATTTGGGCCACACTGTGCCATAAAGATACAGCTATAAATCGTAAACCCATCTTTTGCTTTCTAATGTGCAGAATATGTCGATAATAATAAAGCTTGTTGTGATACACACTTTATTTTCTTACGATAACATTAACAATTACTATCTTAGCATGCGAATCGATGGACTTCTCGATGGACTTGGAGGAGGGTATCGAATTCAAATTATAATGATAGCTGGTGCAGTAGTAATCACAGCGTTTCTTGTGCGATTGGCAAGACATTTGTTGAGGGAGAATAAGATCCCACTTTACAGAATTGATTCAGCACTCCTTAAGTTTATGGAGCACTTGGGCGATGGCTACAATTTTACCCATATTGCAGTATGGGCTACCGACCAGATAATAGTGCCGACTGCCTTCCTCGATAGGATTGCAGCATTTCAGTCCTCAAAGGGATACCCTACAATTGAGCATAAAGCTTTGATAGCACGTGGGACTGTCAAAGTCAATGATATTGCCTTCTTTATTGCTCAGTTTAATGACTATGATTTCATCCCAGATAAAGATAATGATATCGATACAAATAATACTGTGGGACTGGGAGAATTCAAACCATTCGTAGCTCTATTCACTGGTGACAAAAAGATCGCAGCATTGAGCATTACAACATCCCCCGAATCTAATGTATGGGTCAGCCAATTGGACTGCGAAGTAATAGATCTTAAATGTGGAGTAAATAAATTTGTATATAAAAATGAACTATTGGTCAGTACCGAATTCAAAGAAGAAGAATGGATTTTGATGGATAAATCAATGAAGCTCAGAGAGCTGAATGCCTGCATTTACAACACTTCGTGCTCTGGCAAAAAGTACGATGTGAACAACAACAACTCTCGACACTTTGTAAGTGAATTGTGGAACTCTCTCAAGACTTGCAATGAAAGGTAATCGTAATAATAATATGTGTAATGTGCGTATGTGTTTTTATTTGTGATTCAATGTTTCAAATTTGTTAGTGTATACTGTATAACCAAGCACGATGGGGGTTTCAGGTTTCGAAATAACTGAAACTTCAACAGTTTCAGTTATTTCGAAATGAATTTATTCGGCTATAATGTTCATAAACATAATAGCCGAATAGAGATTCGGCGGAATGACGGGCTGACTCAGCTGAGCGCCGCCCAGTAAAGTCCTCCAAGTCCAAACGTCATTTTACCTTTAGGTGGCTCTGAATGACTATTCGAAATTATTTATTTCAGACCCTATTTCAACTGTCAAGGGCCCTTTTAAAACCTTTTCGAAGATCGACTGTAGAGTGATTTAGCACACTGTGCCAACTCATGGCGCTTATTACATAAACTACCAGTTATAGAATTTTGTATTTGCGCTAAAAACGAGGCAGCACTGTTAATGTTATCATTTGTTATACAAAAATTAGCTTTTTAAACAACCGGATATCGCCATACAAAAACGTAAATTTATTTTTATGAAGAATAACAAATTTTTGTTAAAAATTGATAATAATTTAGTTACCAAAATTATTCAACATTCACATCATTTCAGGACACAGCGAGAATCTACAAATGTTATCCAAAAAGACGATCTTGATACGATACAATTTATTTCAACTCACCAGGATGACACCCTATCCCTACGCAAAAAGCTTTACTACGCTTTAAATCAAAGGTATGTTGTTGATAAGACTTTGTTGTTTAGACTTGAGATGTGGAAATTTGACAGTTGAATCATGCATCATTTCAATTTTTTTCGTACCTCAACTAACGACCGCACGTATTTCGTTTCAGCCTTGTGTATGAAATTTCATATATTGCTATATCATTGTCGTAGTTTCGAAACTTGAATAAAGAAATAAAGGTACACAATTATTTCAGAGAACTCGAAATGGAGGAATATCTCAAGAACGGGAAAGATATCTACGATACGTATTGTACGTCAACAGAAACACGCCCAATCATGCTACCTAAAGCTCCACAACACACGTATATTGACGTATACCCAGATGAAGGTGAGTCTGGTCCCAGTTTTAAAGATGATAAAAAACGTCAGTTAGACTATGAGACCGAAGTTGTAGTTTATAGAGCACTGGAGGAGCTACTAGATGAAGATATAAACGTTCTACACAGTTTCGAATATACTCACCGTCAATATCGTTTGTGCGATAAAAGTCATGTTAGAAAAGGGTGTGTGGCTTGCCGAAAAACACCAAACAATCGCGAGGGAGAGTGCGATTTTTTGATCATAGGAAAGAACTATTTTGTGATCATTGAAGTGAAGAATATGACAAGTTTTAGTGAAGCAAAACAGCAGAATCCTGGATTAGATGAACAACAGCATAAGTTAGGATTGCAGGGATCATACAAGAAATCAGAAAAACAGAGGGAAAGAATGGTGAAATTGATCAGAAGCATCGAGAACAGCACAAATATCTCCCACTTTACAGCTTATCCTAACTTCACGAAGGGATCCAGAGCAGAACTTACATTGGAGTCTGATCAGCTATCATCGGTTATATTCAAAGAAGATACAGAAGATTTTGCATCTTGGTGGAAAGGCAACGTTACAGATTTTCACACGGAAGAAGCTTTGAACTCTGACTTTCAAGCAAAACATGATAAAGTCAGGAACATGCTGCTTGCAATTTGGTGTACGGATAATAAGGGCCACTGTTGATGACATTGAGGGAAAGAATTACATTATGACAACGTTATGTTCTTTGCCGGAGGTTAATCAGGGCAACCGTTATATCTGGATAGTTCATGACATGGCACAGGGTAGTTGTTGTATAGTTTTTTTTATCAATAAACTTTCAAATTGTTACACAAATACATCATTTTATTTCAAAGAAAATATCGCCGAATGACCTTACATGCCTTGACAAGTGACCGAGTGTAAACAAAATAAGGGACACCGAAACACCAGTTGACCAGTAATCATAGCAATTACATCGGGCCCTAAATGCACCTATAAGTGAAGCGATGCTGCAACCGAGGCATGCTAGGTTTATTCCATTGAATTAATAAGGTTACAGCCTAAAATATAAATATAACAAATAACAATGTACCATAAATCATAATTATAAACACACTTTATTTAACATATTTTATTAATTATACTTTTTATCAATTTATATTCAGACAATATAGTTACATTAAGGTAAATTGTTTAACTGTCAGAGGATGTTATATGGTCGTTTAGAACTGTCCAGAGGTACTTAATTAAATGGGTTTTAAACACGGATGGCCTTGAGATTTCCCTTAATTCATAAGGGAGTTTATTCCAAAGAATGTGTGCTCTGTAAAAGTAAGACTTAGATATGCCTGAACATCTGGTCTGGCTTGACGTAAGGTTTTGTGGAACTTGAGGAGAAATGTCACTAATCATACTGAGATCGTCTAGATGTGATCGCCTTAACCTACTTCCCATGAAACGTCGTAAGTAAGGTGGAAATGTCACAACTGACATGTCATAAAAAATATTATGAAAATATAATATATCCTTGTAATCAAACCTTACCGAGAGTGGAAGGATATTTAGTTCCTTACACGCTATGAAATACCTTTTTTTGTCCCTAAGGCTCAAGTAAATATCATTAAGGATCCACTTGATACCTCTTTTTTGTATCGATTCAAGTTTCTCCACCGAGGTTTCTGAATGAGGCCGCCAGACAATTGTGCAGTGTTCGAAATGACTTCTAACCTGAGATAGATAGAAGGCCCGACGTTTTTTAGTGTTCTTGGTGAAGTAACCCCCATTTACTCTGAATTTTCGACTATTCTGGGGGTCCGGGGGATGAGTAAAGCTAGAACGGTCAAGTCTAAATACTTTGTAATCAGCTGTCGAGATGATTTCACTATCATGGATATTGTCCTTTAACCATGTTTCATTATAAACTACAATATCTGGTTTATTGATATAAATAAAATGGTTTAGTTCGTGAATTTTTGTAGAGTGGAGAGTGGGATTTGCATCTCCAAGTTCACCAAAAGGGATCAAGCCCTGAACGTTACAATAAAAACCGAGCAGTTTCCCGGGGGTCCTGGATTTTTCATGCTAGGGTTACAAATAAAGATAAGGAGAAAGTTTATGAGTAGTATCCAAAGGTAAAGTGATGCAGTTATATTTTGTAGATATGGGATTAAGCCTCGTTTGGAATTGTATTTAACAAACAACGTATGTAGTGTTTTACCTCTAATAGATAAGCTACTCATTGTACGTCTAATTGCAATACCAAAGATAACAAGGTAGAAATTGCAAAGTAAATTACCAAGACTGTTAATATTTAGTAGGAGTGGAGATTTAATAAGCTGTATCAATTTAGCAGGATTGGGTTTTCCAAAATACAGGTGGTAAAACAGAGTAACATAACAAGGACGAAATAATAGTACATAAAAGCAAGACATATGTGATGTGGTTTGAATGAGTTTTGAACGGGTGTGGAGTGTATTACTGAATTCTTTGTTCTCTTCTTGTTTGAGTGGCTATTATTAAAGTAGCCAATACGTTTTCTATATGTTTCTAACTCAATCATGTGAAATCTAACAATAAAACGACCGACTGTGGAGCAATAATTCCCTTTACGGTGTGTAATTTGTACTTGTATTATTGTCTGTGTCCAGTTTGTATGCGTGATCAACGCCCGTCCGTGATTAGTTATACTATCATAATCAGTTATGTGATATAATCACGTAACTGTAGAATTCATTTTCATCTATTTAAATTGAGGAAATAAGCAATATTCTGAGAAACGGAGATAACTCGTCTTAGATTAGATAAGATGTGATCAGCCAATCAGCTCATTCGAAGAGTCATGGACATAGATGCTGGACTAATATTGAGGCTCATGATGAATTAAAATTATACGTGATATTATTTAGGTATAACTTAGGCTGAAATTTGTCCGAATTTAGTTTACAGGTTATTATGGTGGATTTGTAAGGTGACCATTTCCGCAGTTTGTTCTGTCAGCTACATGCTTGTTTAGTCGGTCTTGTTCTGTTCTTGAGTGAAATTGTTAAGTAGTGCAGCAATTCTATCATAAAGATTAATCACTTAACACGAAAAGAAAACTGACATAATAAATTTCTATACTGGCGCCGCAGGGGCAGATATCCTCTCTTTAGTCCTAGAGAAAGTAGAATGCAGTGAACCCAACACTCAGATAGCACGGATTGACCAGACAAATTAAAGTGAAGGCCATCTCGTGCCAGGTGTGAGGTGCCAAATTTCAAGTTATCAAACAGTTTGAAGTTAGAAGTATGAACTGAAAGTTCGAACAATGTCATGTTCAGCTGGTTGATAGATTTGTTCATGTTGTTGAATCTATCGGCGCTCATGTTGAGAGGTGAAATTGAATCAAAAATGAACTTAGTGTTTTTATATTGATTCACTGAGCGTTCAACAAAGTTGTGTAGAGTCGAGGGGTGAACGCGGTGTTTTCTGAGGTCGTTGATGCCCGCAGAGAGGAGAACAACATCAGCCTGCTCAATGGATTTGCAGTGCTGGTGTAGATCCCGCAGATGAAAGAGATCCTCTCTGAAGGCAACAACTGGCTCATGCAATGTGGAACAATCAAACGACTTATTCTTCGAATCTGAAAGAATCAACACCCTTTTAGGCCGAGCATGACTAGAATTACCCCTCTGGTATGGTGCTGATGCATGGCGGAGGACCCTGCAGGTAATGCTAATTCTAGTGCCAGAGAAATCTTGTTCCTTGACCTGGGGTACACTGTGGTCAAACACATCCTGGCTAGCCCGAGTCATCGTGTACATTGACCCATGTTCTGGGGTCAGGGAGAACCGCTTATAGCTACCAGGTGGTTTTATTCTGAACACTACGGGGCGAGGGGCACCCAGCGTGATGGTTAGAATGGTGCTTTCTGGGTCTATTGATGGCTCGTTATCACTGTGTGGCGGGATGTGTGAGATATGGTTATCATATTTGGTCACGAGGAAACTGTTGAACGGTTTGGCCTGGTCAGGGAATAGGGAGTTCAAATGATCAACAATATTCGCCAGATAAGTGTTGGTGCAGATTTCACGTGCCACATGGCGGCCTCCAGCATACTCATAAGGCATGTTCCCATAGTGGGCAACTTTCCTATTTCCAAAATTGCGGTCATATGTTGTGTTGTTGTCCAAATGCGCAGCTTGAAACTGTTTAAATAAATTTTCTGCATAAAGTGTATAAGGCATGATACCTTCAGGCTCCAGGTTACTAGTATTGCGAGTTGTTGAGGATGATGTAGGTAGGATGGCAGGAGTCGGCAGGAGGGGGACGTCACGGGCTGCAGGAGCTGCTGGCTGTTGTAGGTCTTTAACGAGCGTCTGGGCACGGACTACGTTCTCCTTCAGCTGCTCCAGTTGTTTGTTTGCTTCCGACACGTGCCTCGCAAAATTAGAGGTTAATTTGTTGAGATCGTGTGTTAAGTCGGTACTGTCTTCTATGACTACTTGTTTAAAATGTTCAGTAAGCGCGTTACTTTTACGTATTTTGCCCCGAGCTTTGATGAGCTTCTCATTACAAGTTCTTTCGAGTTCAAGTGTCATTTGATCTTCCGAGAGCTGATCAACAAGGTCAAGGCAGAGTTGTGGACTAAATGACTTCATGGTTGTTTGAGTGCCCCTATCTACCGTACCTGTGTAAAGGGGGTCTGCCAGGTAGCCCTTAGAGTCTGCGGTAGCGGTGGGCGTGCCGCTACCTGGCAGCCCAAGAGTCCGTTGAGAAGAAGTTGGAGTGTTTGTAGTGGTATCCATGGTCAGTCAGTAAGGAATCATTCGCGTCGCACAGTCGGTCTTCTTATCAGTTTTAATCCATTAGCGAATTTAAACAAATGTATTAAAAATTGCAAATGAGTAAATCCTTCATCTATACAACAATCATATTCCCACTTTTACACAATTACTCTATCAAAGAACTTGAGAAACACATACGATATATCGAATAGTTTATCAGTAATAAGGGACAAAATAGAAGAAGAAATAATGAGACGAAGAAGAGGATCACGTCATTCAAATGAAACCATCGTTAAACAAACACCAGGTCATTACATTCGTGGACCGAAAGTCAACATACATGTTTTTAAGAGCGGAGATGTTGATTTGATAGACACTTACCTAGATAAAGAGTTAGACAAGCTGCAGCGGGAAAATGTTCTTAGTACACCGTTAAATACAGCTGTGATATCTAAGAGAACAGACAGACAAATGGTAGAAATAAAAGTTGCAAAATATAGGAGTGGACAGTCTACGGATAACATACCCTTGTTATATCGCTCACAGACTTCTTCAGGAGAATGGCCAGCTGTCATTGGTATAGTTAAATTTGGACATTTAACTGACCTGCCTGGTCTATACCTGACCATGTCTCGAGCTAGAGTTTACTGTACAGTTTTGCTATATCCACACCCTAACATAACGTTAGAAGAGATGGAACGATTATTATCAGGTGATTTCAAACACTGTGCTAATATCAAGAGACATTATTGAGAATGAACATGTATTAATTAATGTAATTAAATATTGATTACATGTGCACACTTGTCACTTAAATAAATAACTAAGCTGCATTTTTGATATATAATTAAAACAGTTTTATTTCTTGTTTCTTAAATATATTGGGATTCATTATTGTTTACATTAAGAAAGACTATGTGTTAATTGAGTATTGATTGGTACAAATTTAACTGACAAATCATGCTGTGTTTTAAATTAATAAAACATAAACTTGGTTTCAATTATTGATTCATATAAGAATTGAGCTTCTTTTCTCTATCTCTATC